TTAAAATGGTCTGGGTTACCTTACGATTTTTTCACTGCTATTTGCTGGGTTTTTACTCAGGCATTGAATCACCTTGTAACCACAGTTTGTGCGTGATTGTTCAACAGAATTATTATAGTCTTATTCTGGCAATTCAAGGTTGTACTGATAAAAATGCGTTTATTTTGCGTCATTGCTGATATCGACCCTACAGAGCAAACATTTGTTGATGTAGTTTCATGAAATATCTTTCATTAACACCAAATCTATGTTATCAAATGACATTAAACACGCCCAAAAAGATAATATTTGATATGTATGAACAATCTGGTTGATTCTTCTGTTGTAAAAAAACAAAAAAGGAATAGTGTAATTGAGACGGAATATTGTTCGTTTTGGTTTTGGGTATCGTTATCGTTTCATTTGTTTTCTATATGAATACTATGATAAAATCTGGAGCTGAAGAGTTGGAAGAATATGCTTTGATAATAAGAACCCACATTTCGAAAAATCATCTGTACAAAATCATGGAAAACATTCGAGAATTTTGTAGAACAAAATTATTTGTTTCGAATAATTAACCTCAATATTTTCTCCAATTCATGATATATGAGGTGTCCAGGATTCATTTCTAAAATTGGACTGAATAAAATAATGTCAGTAATTCGCTTCAAATAATATTGATTATTCATTCAGTACTTTAGACAAATCCAGACTGTTTTTATGGACATGTCGAAGGAGTTGTGGTAACACTTGGAGTTCAGGTCCCAAACAAATCCATTGGATAAATGTGGATATATTGTCAGACCAATGATCACTTATGCAGCAATTGCCTGGTGGCCGAGGGCTTTACAAAAGACGGCTCAGGCGAAGCTCTTTGGCTTACAAGACAGGCTTGTNACACCGTTAGCGGCCATGGAGATCCTGCTAGATCTATCTCCTCTCCATATTTTTCGAGAGAGAGAGGCTAGATGGACTGCATATAGACTTGTGCACATCGCCAATTGCAAAAATCAATCTAATGCAGAGTACACTAGACTGCTGGTTGACACTAGAAGTCACAGCATTCTGGAAATGACGTCTGAGACTATACCTCCAACTGTCAACTACGAACTGCCTTATACAGAACTTTCCTTATACAGTACTTTTCGCGAGTAGAGACGACTGGATCCTCCGGGAGAAGGAAATATTAAAAGCAGATAGTTGTTGGTTCACAAATGGATCAAAAACAGTTTCAGGCTCTGGTGCAGGCGTTTTCAGTTGCAGACCCAGGACAGAGATATCAACCTGCCTAGGGACCTACGTTACTGTATTTCAAGCGGAAATCTATGCTATTTAATTGTATGCGGAGAGACTTTGAATCCAACCTCATACACAAGTCAATAAAAATTTTCTTGGCATTGGAACCTCTTGGCTCCTACCGAGCAACGCCTTAATTTGTAGCAAATTTCCAAAACCGACTCTCCTCAATAGGAAGACTCATCAAATTGTCTGTGGTCTGGATTCCTGGCCACACTGACCTGGAAGGCAATGAGGCTGCTGATTTCCTTACAAAGGAGGGTGCTGCAAGCAGCTTCATCTGACCAGAACCTGTCATTGGCATCGCTTTACGCTTTGCCAAAAAAACACTGGACACCTGGATGACAAGACGATTTATGGACCAAGGCGTTTATTTACCCTTCGAAAGCTTGATACCAAGCAGTTTTTGGACTACACTAAGAATGAACAACTATGTCTAACAGGCCTCCTCACAGGTCACTGTCGTCTGAATCATCATATGCAGAGACTCAGACTGTTGGAAGACTTTGTGCCTACCTCGCTGCGGTCCAAATCAGGTTTTCAGATGTTAGCAGAGTCACACACTGACCATCTGACGTGAAAGACACTTACCATATAAGCTGGGTTTATTTGGTCGAGTTTGAATAGATGAGAGCTACAATAAACCCTTGCGGGTTGCGGTGGAAGGTCGAATAGACCCACCCACTTTTGACCTAACATAACCTACCTTCAATCAATGTTTTTCGATAAGAACAAAATTACGTCAGAAACCAAAGGACCTCAAATCTCATTTCATACCTAAAATTCAGAGCAACGTGACTTACATAACCTAAAAAACTACACACTACTCTACACTTAGGTTACAAAAGTTAGAAAATAGTAAGTGTGATATAATTGAAAACAGTCACTCAATTTTTTTATTTTACACATTTTGAAAACTAATTCTAAAATGGATCATCATACCTATATTTAATAATTGAGGAACTTATATTTTTGCTTAATCTTTCATTTGAAAGCGGAGAAATTCCAATNTTCATTTGGAAGCGGAGAAATTCCAATCACTCCTACTTACCTATATTCAAATAATCCGGATCTTCTGGAAAATTAAATTAGATATGCTACTATGTATTAGTAGTTTTTCAAAGATATTTGAATGGTTTCTGATTCGTCAAAAAATTGATCGAGCTACCAGCGGAGATACCTGTGTGGAAACTGTTTTTTGGGTTTTTTGGCCGTAGTCTGCAGGTTTTCATGCCTGACGTTTCGTCTACTACTGCGGTAGACATTATCAAAGGTGATGTGGTAACGGTCACAGTGCCCGAGTTGGTAGGTACTTGAGTTGTAGACGAAACGTCAGGTATAAAAATTTGTAGACCACGGCCAAAAAACCCAGAAATTGGCTCTCACACAATCATTATTATTTCTGTTAAATACAAACTGTGAATTAACTAACTAGCTATTTGTGGTGGTGTAGGCGTGTGTATCGTCTTCCAAAGTTGTCAAAAAATGTGAAGCATGGTAGATCTGGAACCTCTGGCGTAGAACGAATCCGAAACAAGCACTGTTTCCAAAATCAGAACTGCAAACCCCTTCTTGACGCAAGTTGGCGTCTTCAGAAAAAAATGAAGACGCGTACTTATTTGGCGAAACTTGTGTCGAATAAAGTGTTGCAATTCCGATGTTTGAAAGCAGTACTTATTCTGGATCCAACAACGAGCTGAAAACTCGAGTTCTAATCTGAAACTTCTAAAAGTTCAGTTCTAGGATTGTTCTGCATTAATACCAATGTTAGGTTTCATTTTATGTTATAATCTTTCTAGTGATTTCTGTGAGAAAAACTAACTTGTTACATCAAGTAATTCGATGTGACAAAAAATACAGGCAGATTTAAAGGTAAAGGCAGAGCAGAACAAGTATGAAATTTTAACTTGAGCGTAGAAATAGAAATATATTTCATGCTCCAGACGAGTTTTTATGTACTCTCTTATTTTAGGCCTTATCCTTTCTATGGCTTTTGTTTCTTTTGGAACGAAGCATGTGCGAGCATTCATATACAAAATTAAAAATGCTGTGCAATAAAATGTTAACAAATACGTCTAGATAATATGAAACGGGATCCTTGTAGAAATGTAATTATTTTGTTCAATTTGTCGAGCTGAATCGTCAATGTGCAAACAAAATATGTAGCTCATTCCGTTTGGTTTTGTATTACCTACATGGTTGTAATTGAATATAATCAGACAGATATAATATCTGAATTCTACTGTTTTAATCGACATTCTTTTGGTATTTTTACCTTCCACAATCTGAAAAAATATAAAAATTTTAATGAGGAATTTTGCACACTTTTAAAAATGGCTAACTTTTTAGTTCACCCAGATAATTACTGCCTAAATTTGAAGTATTTTTCACAAAGAAAAATGTTATATTCATCAGTAACTTGTATTTAATAATTTTATACCTATCAAAACACAGCTAAGAAACTATACAGATNATTCGATAAAGCGATGATAGCAATATAAAAATGTCAAGTCGAACAATTTCGCTTCCTGCTTCGATAAGTTTGTTGGGGGTTAAAATGGACACCAATATGTCTTGGCACAATCATGTCGCTAGAATTGCAAAGGCTGCTTCTCAAAAGCTTGGAACATTGTTCCGAACCAGAAAGCTGTACACACCTCAGCCACTTTTGGTGCTTTATAAAATTGAGATCAGACCTTCTTTGGAGTATTGTTCTCACGTATGGAGCTCTACCCCCAAACATACCCTCAAGTTGCTGGATTCCATCCAGAAAAGAGCCATCCGCCTGATTGGAGACGCGAACATCATGTGCAATCTTGATAGCCTGGGACATCGAAAAAAGGTTGGAGATTTGTCTCTCTTCAATAGAAACTTTCACGGGAAGTGTTTAAGTTACTCGGCACATTTCATTCCACCAAGAGCGGTACATATCAGAAATAGGCGACGGACTGTGGCTGGTCATCGTTTTGAGGTTCAACTTCCTGAGAACGTTTTTCCAACTGGATTTAATCTCCAGAGACCCAAATCCAATGTGAATCGCTAATTTCGCACAAGCACCGCTCTGAGAGCGTCTTAAGGATTTTCCTGTAGTGCTTGTGTTTTGTCCTTGAAGAATAAGAGCTGTTTCGAGAGGGCTTTTCTTTCATTTTGTGTCTGAAAGTTACTTCTTTGCATGATCTACACATCTTTATAGAGTTAATTTTTTGAAATTTATTGTTGCCTTCCTTGCTTGGAAGGTTCCCACATTTTTTCGTATGAAGATAGAGAAGTAGAAATCCAAAATCTTTCTTTCCCAAAAATAATCTCTCCCAAAAATAAACCCCTTTCAATGTAAACAATATAGAAATCAACTTTAGTATAGTATTGTCAATCATATCCTTTTTTGGAAGATTCCCACATTTTTTTGTATAAAGATAGAGAAGTAGAAATCCAAAATCTTTCTTTAGCAAAAATTTATCTCTCCTCTAAATGAACCCTTTTCAGTTCAAATAATATAAGCGTCAACTTTATTATAGTATTGTCAGTCATAAAACATGCATTTTCAACATTAGCGAGCATGGAGATTACAAGCCACACAAGACTCTTTTTCTCCGAATGATTCATACTATTTTTTCTTCAAACGTGAAAAACGCCGACATTAAAAGTATTATTAACTTGAAGACAAAAATATTTATTTTGTCAATTCTACTACCCTAAAACTAAAACTAACTCTGTTTTTTCAGTTGGGGAAATGGCGAAAATCATCTAATTTTCAACATGGTGTCCGGTAGTTCTCCCGATTTTTCACCTGTCATCGAACTGGAAATCGGAAAAGCCATGGTGGCTGGTGCGGGGTTTGATACATATAGGTTTAGAAAAAATTTCGACATTTCCTTGCCAGTTTTTAGTCCAGTAGCTAAGTTAGGAGAGGTTAAAGACATATCACACGAAAGGTAAGCGGAAAATATTTTAAAACCTAAGAATGTTTCATTTTCACATAAAAATATACTATAGAACAAAAATAGAAAAACTTCAAGGGCCTAAGTCTTTTAGGTGGATGATATCTACATCATGATTTATTGTAATAATTCATTCCGTGGTAAATATCAATATTCAATGAATTCACTTCATGTAATTGCAGTTCAAACCATTCAAAAAATTATGTAGCAAGTATAATCTATCTATATATCTATCTATATCTAATATAAATACTATAATACTATAAATACTATATAATACACTACAATACTAATATAAATGTGAAAGTTTGTGAGGATAGATGTATGTATGTATATATGTATGTTTGTGAATCTTTCACGTCTATATAAAAGACTGAATGGATCTAGATTTACATAAATACAAAAGTTTTGTGTTACTTTGTTCATAATAACGATAAGTATTGAGTAGGTCGGAAAAATTTTTGCTCCCTGAGAGCTCTCTTGGCGTGCGCTGCCTATACCGTTGGAGTTACATGAAGATAATGTACCGTAAACCGTAAGATTGTTCATCTTAAATAGTTCCAAATAAAAGTTCGCAATAGCATATATCTACCTCTTATGTGGTAGCCACTATATGCAAAATACTGAGCCGTAAATACGATTGAATTGAATGCTTTTTTTAAATAGTTCCAAATAAAAGTTCGCAATAGCATATATCTACCTCTTATGTGGTAGCCATTATATGCAAAATACTGAGGCATAAATACAATTAAATTTGATACTTTTTTTACAATGAACATTTTGGAATATCTGTCGAATTCTTATAAAAATCGATACAATTGTCGTTTTGAGAATTTAATATAGATAAACTTAGTCTCTTACACTAAGTAATTTGGACGAATCGTTTGAAAGTTATCACGATAAGATTAACTTGACACAACGCAGTAAGCCATTACGCGTCGCGTCTACTGTAAGACGACGAAATACGATGCGCAGGGATAGAGGGGCGGTCTAAGCAATGAAGCGCCATCGCCGAGAACGCGACCCGAACGCAGGCAGACGTCGTTGACGGTTGTGTAGTTTTGCGAATGTCTTTATAGGTAACATAATTCGATTCTCGAAGCTATTCATTACTTAGTGCAGTTGGCATATTTTTTCAGTTACTGTATTTTCAAAGTGAAAATATAAATTACTAGCTGTTGCCCGCTCTTATATTAACGTACGTAACGAAGCTACTGAACCTAGAATCTTGAAATATGCAAGTAGGTTCTTTGTATAGCCAAAATAAGCATCAAGATGGGGAATCAGGAATTTCCACCCCAAGGGGGAAAATAGGGGTTCAAAGATTGTATTGAATTTCTTCAGGTTTGAAGTTGGAAACCTGAAGTTTTGTGTTAATAAAAAAAATGTTGTAACTATTTGTTTAAAATGGTCTGTTAGTGTACAACCACTATTGATATTTGGAACTCTAATGGAATTAGTAACTTATTTGCATTGAGTATCAAATTCTATTTTCTATTAACATAACAATGGGCAAAAGAACAATGGCTCTCTCCCTATGTGAGGTAGGGAAACATTTGAAAATGTTTTTGAGCAACTGTAGTTACTTATTAAAATTATTTCGATCGGCCTCTAAAAGTTTGTATTATAAAATTCCTCTTAAATGATGATGGTAAGAATAGGTGATGTTTATAATGAACATCAATTTATAAAATGCGGCATACCGCAAGGTATTGTTCTTGGCCCTGCCGTGTTCAACCTTCATGTCAACGATATGTTTGCATTGAATAATGCCGGAAGAGTAACTGGGTATGCCGATGAAACTGTAGTCTTTTACAAGTTGGATACTTCTGCAAAATATGGTAGAAACAGATTTTTTTCTCATAAATGACCAGTTGTATCATAAACTTTTAGCTATCAACCTAAAAAAAATCTGTATTCGTTACTTTCTGTTGCAATAAATCCGGAGCTGCACCTTTTCATTAAATTGTATCCAATATACCTGCAAAAATAGTATATATTAGGTCTGTAGAAAATATTAAATATTTAAGAGTGAATATCAATAATAACTTCAAATGGGATTCTTATACCGATTCCACAATGAAAAGGCTACGGAAAATGTTTTATCAATTCAAAATTTATCAAAAAAGCTTGTCTGTCACTGAATTGGTAAAACTGAGATATGCTATTACTATCTGAAGAAACGTTCATATACGTTTAAATCCTTTGGAAATAACCCAGGAAAAATTAATTTGTCTCATTCTTAACAAACCCCTCAGATTTTGTCCCGATGGTCTTTATAGAAAAACTATTTTTTATATTGGACAGCTATATTATTACTAGAGATTCTCTTATCCAAATATACTAACAAAAACGATCTTCTGTTTGGTGTTTAGAGGGGAGCGAATGGGACAGTTTGTACTGCTGGAAGCTTTGGCGGCCAATTGCATTCCTGTAATTGTTGTGGATGGCAATGTGATGCCTTTTGATGATATCATCGATTGGAGGCATTTTTGTATATTCATCATGGAGAGCCATTTGAGTGGTTTGATGGAAGTGCTGAACGCTATTTCGGAAAAGCGTATAAGGGAGATGCAGAGGAGCGCGTTTTTCATGTATCAGTCTTATTTCTCCGATATGGAAAAGATAGCTTTAACTACCTTAGATATTATACAGGATAGGGTATTTCCTCATTTGAGCCAAACATATGACCAGTTCAATTTGAGACCTGCTGAGGTAAAGTATTACGTTTATTAAGGCTGAAAATTTGATTTCACTAATAAATCTTATATTTTTGAAAGGTATATTATTACTGAATGAGAATAAGAGTGTTACATTCATGATCCTATATCACACATTATTGTTTACATTTGTCATACGTCTCACCAGTGATACAAGTACATGACCGAGTATGAAACCTGCATCTGCATCTGAGAAATGAATGAAATTTTAATGGCGAACTTTATATAGATGTGGAAAGTTCACCCCAACAAGTTACTGTGCGAATTCAAAGCATTTTTCACAAAGGAAATTAGTATTTATCATGAACTTNTTGTTGATTTAAATCCAATGCACAGGGGCGTACAATTTAGCGCACTTCAAACTATGCGTTGTCTGTAATGAGCAGATAATCATTTAGCTCCAATAATAATAATAAATCAGCTTCATTCATCAACTTCATAAACAAAAACAAACTTACAAACTAGTAAAAGAATAATCATGAGTGATGAATCGTCGAAGTATTAGCAAAATCTCTTTTTCAACTCAACCGCAAACAAAAAAAAACTATCAGATTGAAAAGGTGAAGAAACGCCAAGAAAGATAATATAATACCATAAACAGATGAAAATATAAAGGTAACTTACTTCTATATCGTGATTTCAGAAAATACAATGCTATGCTGTGTCATAATTGGATTCAGTTTTTCTCTGCTTCTTGACAGTAAATCTTCAACCTTTCTTTAGAATCAAAAAGAGAGTACAATCTAAAATCACTGGGTAATTGATTATATAATTTATGAGCATTGTATGAAAAACTGCGGGTGAAAATAGCAAAAAGATGACTAGGTACGATTAATGATTTACTTGTTCGAGTATGTGATCTACTTACACTGGAAAAAGTTGTCAGCTTACTAAAGATATATTCTGTTTTTTTTTGGAAATGAGAATCTTATGGGTGTTAGTTAAGAGGTGCAAAATTCTGAGGGTATCTAGTCTCAACCAACCAGAGTGTTTCATAATTGATGAGATATGGTCATATTTACGAATTCCATAACAAAGTCTCAAACATGAGTTTTGAATAACGTTGTAAGCGATGTGCGTCTTATTGCAGTAAGGCAGGTCCGTAGATGCTATCACAATAAAAAAATTTTGAAAAAATCAGAGACTCGCAAAGTTTCATTTTTGAATTGAATAAAAAATTGAAATATTAATAAAAGCTGAAAATTAAAAAATAAAAACTTCAAATTGAGTTAATTTCATAATGAAATAACTATTGAAATAAGTATAAAGCACTGCCAAAAAAGGTTTACGTTTTTTTCATAATTCCTTCGCTTTGAGATTTGGGAAATATTCGAGGTGGTAACCCACAGTGTATAATACTTTGAATAATTGTGTTATAATAGTTTACAAAACCACAACACGTTTTTCATAGTGCTTGAATACTGTGCTCAGTTCAGTTTAGTATGAAAATGCTCTTTGCAGGAAACATGTGTTGCTGTTATGTTATGTGAAAATTTCACAATAAGTGTTCTTTTTACAATTATCACGGATCTCAAAAATTGGCTAACTCCATCACAAATATCACTAATTCAAATTATCTAAAAGAACAATTCATTCAGGCCAGTCTCAAATTACCTACACTGTAGGTTAATGGACTGACACCTATCAGAAAATAACTGCTTCCCTGGCTAATACCTCGAAGAACGGTGGATTATATCCGACAGGTGTCAGTACAGGAGTCTTCACTGAAGTTATTCCTGCACATGCTGTTGGCGATAAAACTGCCGCAATCGATTTTCAATTATTGGAACATACTTGCAGACCGGTTTCGGACTGTTTGGCCACTAGTCAGTGCAAGGTAGTGTCTACCATCAACATTAAATCATTGACTTTATGTATTTTGAGACTGGACCGTTCTTTTAGATAATTTGATTTATAGCCAGTCCCCAAGTATGCCCACTCAATTTGTGAAATCACTAATTCACTCTATGTAATATTTAACTGGCTAATACAGATATCTTTGTCCATCTAACCATATAATTTTTCATAATTCCTCATTACACCCTGTTGCCTTCTGTCCATAAAGTGAATATATTGAGTTATCATATAAATAACCGCACATTATTTCATCTTCTAATATTGTCTTTCAGATTAACATGAATCCTTTGTTTTTTCCCATTACTTCACCGAAATCTCACGGATTCACTGCTGTTATTTTGACATACGATAGAGTGGAAAGTCTGTTCACATTGATCGAAAGATTATCAAAGGTTCCTAGTCTAATGAAAGTCATAGTTATATGGAATAATCAGAAAAAACGTCCTCCACCATGTAAGTATGTCATTTTTTTCTAATTTTATCTATGAAATATTTTGAAATGTAGAATCATGACGATACCTCGACAAAAGTTGTGATTTATATTCACTATGTATGAAACATTTTCATTGGCGCTCCTTATGGATCAATAATATACAGGGTGTTCCATTCAAAATGAGGAAGATTCTGCAAATTTTTATTTACAATATGTGGCAAGCATACCCTGTATGTCACAGGCCGACTTCAGATATATCGTTTGAGAGAGTTACCACTGTAGAATATTTGACCAGAAAATAATACAATTGGACTTGGCACAACTTTATAATTTCAAATATTCTGAGTGACGAATATTGGAAAAAAAACCTGTCATGGTAGATATCTCTAAAGCCGTCAATATTTTCGAAGTAAAGATATACATAAAGTGTCTTTTATTTTTTATGTACAAACCGAAAAAGCAATGAAAAATATAGGTTGCTCATCCCTCGATCCTGGGAGAGGGGGTAGAGGTGTCCTTAAGGATCCTCTATCTTCTCCCTCCAAGGGTCGAGGAGTTCTAAGTTTGCAGCAACACTTCAACTTCAGTGTTTGCAGGCAAGCTTACAACATGCCAAGGCCGCTTCATACGTCCTTGGTAAAAACCTTAAGGGCGAATAAATCGACTATGCTTTCCTGAAGAACTATGGACAGGAAATACAGGCCGAATAACCGGACTGAGCAATATTCCTGAGCAATATTTTTGCCTGACCGCCAATATTTTTATTTTGTCGAGCTCGTGCAATGAGGTAATATAGAAATTTAGATTCCTATCTGTTTCCTAAATAGAGATATGGAACACCGCGCCACTGTTGCAGGACCCTGTATACAAAGAGTACACGGCGAGTATACCTAGATGTGAGAACAATGGCCCGCAAGATTACCTGACTTGGCCTTGACCATATTTTTAATAATTTTTTTCTATATTTTCAAACACCGGGTTAATATGACTTAAGCTATCCCAAAACAATAAACCATAGCTTGTACTAATTTGTAGTGAGCTAGTTTTAAGATTCTAATTTAAACTGTGCTCGTTAGCTGTATAATAACAAAGCATAATTTACTCAGTTTACTCAATAGTTCTATGTATGATTCTTCTATGCAGTATTGTTATTTATTGTAACTTACAAGAATCATGTGACATTAATTTGCTAAATACTTCTGTGATCCTCAAAAATGAGAAATTCTATAAAAAGTTTTGGAAAGATTCACCATTATCCTATTGTTAATACACCATTGATAAAACTCGTCAGCTACGATGATGGTTTTAAAAACTTCTTCAGATGAATTACTTTCTGAAATAAGAATGCTTGTTTCATCATCATATACAATATGTCTCAATAAATTGGAATCATATATTATTGACTTCGAAAAAAAAAATCAGTCAAACTTGCATTCCCAAAAACCAGTACAAAATATCCATATTGGTCTCCAGAGCGAAAGTCAAGTAATATATGTGAAAAAAAATTGATGGAGAGCTTCATACATGTGTTTGTTTTGTCCAATAACACCAATACAATTTATACTGTCATTATAAATGAATCGAAATTTACTTTTTTGACATAGAAAATAGTTGCCTAGGTATTACATATTTTATGATGAGTGCAATCAATTCAGGACGTTTGTTATTATTACTTATTTTCAGTGTCTGAATTTCCAAAAATCTTAAAACCTGTAAATATAATTGAAACCAAGGCAAATAAATTATCGAATAGATTCTATCCTTATAAGGAGATCGAAACCGAGGCTGTTCTACACATAGACGATGACATCATTATGTTGACTTCCGATGAGGTGGAATTTGCCTATGAGGTTTGGAGGGAATTTCCTGATCGAATAGTAGGTGCGTATTTAATATAATAACTAGTTATATTTTTCAAATTATCATTTATAGGCTGAGGCTGAAGAACAAAATAAGATATTGTTAGTTGATATTGAGTCATATTTGAGACAGGAATTGCATTTTGGAGAACGTGTGAGGTCATACAATGTCAGACAATCTTTGAGTCTCGAAAATGTGCAGTCAGATATACCTGTTTTAAGTTCAAGTCGAGAAACCTGTCTCTTCAAAATGAAATTTTAACCCTAGTCTTGATTTTTTATAGATATTGCTCTTACTTATTATTCCAAGCTCCAGACTACTGATTGCAATATTAGACTGCCTATATCAACATCTGATAAAAACAGAAGATTTTATTATTTATAATGGTCTCAAGTTATATAACTGTCTTCCAGATGTATTAAAGGAAAATGGAAATTATAATTCCTTAAAAAATTACTTTAAAATTAGATGATAGTCATTTCTTATTTATGACTCATAGATTTATTTGAACAAATACAAGGAACCTTCTTCAATTTTGCAATAGTTTTCTTTACATTTTTTTTATACACACCATTCCGACTAACATATTTCTCAACTCGATGAGACTTATCTTAAACAATAAAGAGTAAGTAAAATATTTCTTTGGTATTTCATATTGTTTTCATTAATTTTTTTGATGAGCAATATTAAATAATAACAATACCTTCAATACTAGTTTTGATATTGAAACAAAATTAATAATTCTCAGATCGCACTGAAGATGAAGAGTGTGAAAAATGAAAAGAATAAAAAAAATAAAAAAATAGGATAATTATGTTTTTTAAGTTAATTTTTGGTGTTCCTAAATTGTAAATTTGAACTTTTTCAACTGAGAAATTGACGTTTGTTCAAAAATTAAAAGAATGACATACATTTTCATTTAGAGGGAGTCTGACCCAAAATTTAACCCTCTTGCGGATGTGAGACACTCCCTAAATTTTTTCAATGGCTGGGGTTTGAGTCATACATCACTCGAGAAACTTGATGTCTCTATTAAAAAAAAGGTCAACAGTTGCCTTCATTTCTCTCATTGAGGGAATTTGACAAAAAACAACAACGATAGGAACAAAATTACCAAATGATGACTTTTACCAGTTGTCATATAATATTTCAACCGAATTTGTAAACTTTTTCTGACATAACTGTAATTGTCCGGGGTCAGCAATCGGCATTCCTTAACAATTCTCTGTCACAACTCTTCGGGAGTGTATTGGTGAGAAATCAAGTGGCTTCCTGGTTACTACACTAAACCACTTTGCCTGGGTTCCGTCCAAAAGCGAAAAGGAGTTTACAACATCCTCATGTAATTTCAATTACTGTGAAAGTTGTCAATTAATGCCAATGGTTAGTACACTTCGAATCCAATGAAGATTTGTTTTAATAAAAAAAGGAACAGTGACCAGAGTATGCTATCATTGTCAAAATAAAACATTTCCTCAACACTCCCTCATTTTGATGTTTGTGTGAGATAGTTTTGGAAACTACTTTTTCCAATGTATTTGATCAGTAGTTGGAATCCACTGGATTGGCTGTCTAGATCGCCTGATCTTACATATTTGGATTTCTTTCTGTGGGGACATTACTAAGCCTACAAATCTGGAAGAAATGCAACAGATAATCTTTCGGGATTGCATTACTGACTCCGAACATCTAGGATAATGTAAGAAAAGTATTTGAAGTAAATTGTTTTATTGTATGGAACTTGTTGGAGGTCATTTTGGGTAAATCACATCAATGTTATTTGTTTTTAATTTTGTTTCAGTAAAGGAAACAAAAGTGAATTTTCAATTGTATCCTAAATGAAATGTTCAACGCTGAATTCTTTGATAAACAATTACTAGATCCCTCATGCTATTCAAAGAATATAGGGGTAGCTGCTGCCAGCAAGGGGGTGAAGTTTTAAGTATAAATTTCGTATAAATTAAAGCCCCTTGAAACAAATAATGACCTTTTCTTTGACATTTTTCATCACACATCCGTTTTTGAGATATAGAGGTGGAATCTTTTTTTTTTGGAATACTCTTTAGAAATTCCAAGTGACTTCTATTGAACATGTTATTTCTGAATAAAATATTGTGTTGAATAACCATCTGTATTCTGTCAGGTGCTGACTCATACAACTTCTGTTGACCTCTTTGTACATCATTCAAAATAATGTCTCGTCCCTGTTCTTACATCTACCATAACTTACTAAAAATCCATGAAAGAAAATAATTTTTCTATTCGTATTTCCATAACTACTCAGTATGACTCAGTAACCTATTGAGGTGTCAACATTTTAGACCGAATAGATGAAAGATAAATTCTTTAGACCTTGGACTAGAGATGATATCGATAGCAGTTTAGCTGAATACCGGATATTCGGTCAACCTTGCAGCCGGATAGCCTGGCATTCGGTCAACCTTGCAATCAGATAGCCTCATAACGTTGCCATTTGGTGCATCAGAAGAAGTGCGCTTGAATAATTATTATTTTGTCTGATTCTGAAATGGTTGAGTGAAGTAAACTAACCCCAAAATCAGTTATTATTTTCTCATGTCTATGTTTTAATGTATGATGTAATATATTATATTTTATATTATATCTATATTTATATTTTTATCGAAGTTTCACACACGTTGTTGACTTAAAATTATGCAAGAGTATGAAAAATAACTATATGAGTGACTCTACCTATCTATCCGTCTATGAGGATATTAAATTTCCTCTAGGTTTTCCATCAAGAACTCACATTTGGGACAACACTACCCAAAAATGGAAATACGAATCTGAATGGACTAACGAAATATCCATGGTACTGACGGGAGCGGCTTTTTTACATAAATACTGGAGTTACTTGTACACAAAAAACATGCCAGTAGANGTGTTAACGATTGACTAGGGGGGGAGGGGACTTTTGACTAGCACTGTAGAATTTCTCTTATTTGGAACACCATCATCCTCAATGGTGTACGTCGAATTTTCAGAACAAAATACCTATCAGCATCTCATCATCACCATGTTGGATAATATTACAGGACCAAGCCATCATTTATTTCATAACATCATGACTTCATGCCACTAGAATAAGTAAATTTACTCATGTCACGATAACAGTATGTAAAAACATTCATAGGGTAATTTGATTGTATCCCAGCTATAGAGCAACATTTTTGTATAAAGATGGAGAAGTAGAAAGCCAAGCTTTTTTCCCAATGAATTTCCTTTTTTTGGGATTGTTGACAAAAGAACCAAAATGTTTTCAAAATAACGAACTTCTTTCATAATATTCAACATTAGTCATACTCAGTTGAGAATAGGTTAGGTTAGGTTAGGTTAGGTTAACTGAACTCTGGGGAAGGATTTGAAAATGTGGATATTTTTTTTTTTGTATCAAGGGAATCAACTACTGCGCTTTTTGTCCTCCTGTTTTGAGTTTTTCCAAAACGAGTTGAAATAATTCTCAAAATAAAAATTCTGTCCATTATGAGATCTCTCGATTGTTAGCAGATGCACAGGTTATCGCACCAAATCTGTCTACTATTATATTTTTACATTTGGTGATAGCAGAGTTGACTAATATGGCTATTGGCCTTATGTTCTTTCCAGTCTTTATCTTGAGAAAAATATCTGATTTAAGGTGGATTCGAATTCAGGACCTTTTGATCGAGAACTAGCCACTCAACCACTGCACCAGTTTGCCCTTTTCTCCCGTTATTATTATTACTAATATCATTTTAGGAAATAAGAGTGTTCAGAAGAGAGGCTGAATCAACCTGGTTTCATCTAACACAGTTATATTTTTCAGGTAACTCCTAGAAAAAAATTCAAATGTCCAGAGTGTACGAGCAATGAAATGCTTTCGGCTGATATGGGTCACATGGTAGAGCGGTCGCAATGCGTAGATAGGTTCGCCAAGGCTTTCGGTCGCATGCCCCTGAACACAGTCGAATTCAGAGCAGATCCAGTCCTCTTCAAAGATCCATTCCCAGAAAAATTGAAGCGCTTCAACGACATTGGCAGCTTGTAGATTTTTTATGTTTATTTATATGTAGATAGGTGTAGATATTGTAAATACTGTAAATACTTCATTGTTGTACTGATTTTTTGACCAGGGTTATATATTTTACAGATATTTTATTGACTTTTTTTATTGTATTTAATGTTTTGTATATGTTGTAAATCTGAAATGTAAATAATGTATTCGATAATAATCATCAGATTTCGAGCACTTTCATTTAAAATCAAGCTACTGACATTGCGATTCATATGTACCGATATTTCTTCACAGCTTCAAAAAACAAAAATTCTACTTTTACAGTACGTTAAGCTCTCGTCTTAATATCAAGACTTTGTCAAAATGCTAAAAATAAACACATTGAAATAATGAATTCAAAGCTAATTCTGTTCTCAAACACCAGAACTGCAAACTTTTTTCGACGTGCATAACCAAGTTGACGTCTTCATCGCCTGAAGACGTCAACAAGACAGAAAAAAATCAACAATTGAAATATACAACATCTGATTTGAAAAACTCGAACGTCTACCATACATCATACAAATATTGCAATTTAAATTATATCGGAACAACTTCCAGAATTTCATCGCCGAGAATAAACTCCCACAAAAGTGATATAAGATAAAAAATCAAATTCAACGAAACGAAGAAATATGTACAAAAGGTTTTGAAAAAAACGGTAGTAACCCGAGTTGTATAAACGGAAAAACAGATATTGAATATTTGAGTAACATGTTTGGTATGCAATATTTTCTAATATTACTAATTTGGATTTAGAAAAGCTCCGAATATGTAGGCGTCCACTGTTTTTTGTACAAAATAGGGACTAGTGAAGTTGTCCATTCACTGCATTCTCCAAAAGTAATAGTAATAGTATATACACCTCTCATTCAGATAATTTTGAAATTTTACTTTTGACTACTATTTTCAAGGCCAAATGCCTTGAAAATATTAGAAATACAATAACGCGGAATTGCACCTTCTATCAAATAAAACTTCCAGAGAGGATAGGCAGGTAGAAAAAAAAAATTGTTTCGGACTAAGAATTCATTTCAACCATATAAGTCGCCGGGACCAGAGGCATATTATATAGTGTTGAAAAAAGGAACGGTACTTTAAAAACATTATGTGATTCTCAGAGGCAGTCTGGAGGGCCACTTTCATGACCTAGGAAAATTGTACAAGATTTGGCAAAGGCCTTGACACCAACAAACGACCACTCTTTCAATAGACCAAACAGGGTGCCAGGACATGCTTGTTTGGGAACAAGTTTTAGTCAATTCAGTTTGGGATCGGATCTGAACAACTGAACAAAATAGACGTTAGGATAAATACTCAAACAGTTAATGAAGCACAAAGTGCTTTGGTGTATTGGCTTTTATCCATTGGTGGTAGGTGTGGCTCTGTTGCCACAGATGTTAATCTCCTCTTCCTCTTGGTTGAAATTTGTTCGCTTCCCTATATAGTCTCGGATAATAGCTCTGAATTCTATCGAGCACTTGGGTCTCTTTGAATGTGATCAAGTGGGTGCTTTCCCTGAATTCATTTTTCGCAACTGCTGATTTGTCAGGATGCCTCATCTCTCTTGTATTCAGAGAGCCGGTACTTACGTTTCTCTTTGTGGTCATGGAAGAAGAGGACAAGAAATCGAATGAACAGCTGAATAAACTGACATACAAAGTTGAGATAACTCACATGCTCAGCCAACCGGACCTCTTCGAGCAGAATACCTTCAAATACAACTGTTCCGATGAGATACTTTTATCAGCACCAGCAAGGACTTCACAAAGTGTAAACTCCAATATTTCATGGTCAGTCATTGTGTGCTATGTATCATCGTTAGTTACCAATAACTGCAGGGTCAGATTTTGAGAGATTAGTTAGTTTAGTCTATCACCAAATCTCAAAAAACAATTTGTAGGTTAGGTGGACACCTAATAATACATTATGTATTGACAACTATTATAGAGTTTGAGATGTGAAAACTGCTTTGAAAAAAAAATTTAGTTGAGGACAACTTGGGTTGGAAAAATAAGAAAGTGATATAAGGAGTGTAGGAAAACACACAAGAAAATCTTTATGTAGAGACGGACCTTTCCTGCTGCTTCAACGCAGAAGAAAACGGCTCAGAAAGGCTACTCACTTGTCACTGTAGGTAAGCAATTTATGAACAATTCAATATATGCCCTTTCTATGTTTCTTGCCAGTCTCTCAATAGCAACATTCAGTTCACACTCGAAACAGAGATAGAGAAACAGATAAATTTCTTATACCTGACCATTACACACAATCAGAATAAATTTGAGTTCAATGTTTTCAGAAAACCTAGCTATACAGACATTATCATTCCAAGTGATCCTTTCCATCCAGACAGTCATAAATTAGCAGCCTACAATTCAATGTGCCTTTATCTGCTAACAATCTAGCTAGGGAAATTGAAATAATTACACAGATGTGCCATACCATAATAATGGTTTCAACGCAGATATAATCCAGAAGTTACTCAGAAATCAAAGGCGTAAATTATTTACAAATTACTATACCCTCAGATCAAACAATTAGAAATCAAGAAATGGGTACCTTTAACATATTTTGGTAAAAGAACAGATATAATTGCGGGTTTCTTTGAAAAAAAATGTGGAAGTGGCATTCAGACCACATGCTAGGTAATCTGATTTCCTTTTCAATGCCAAAGACAAAGTGGACAGATTGGAGAAATCTGGAGTTTATAAGTTTAACTGTCCGGAGTGTAATAGTGTTTATGTGGGATAATGTGGTCGAAATTTCTCAAAACGGTATGCTGAACATGAAAGTTCCTTCAGACTAGGTAAAAATGATTCGACAATTTCAAACCATTCCTTGGCATGCAACCACAAGTTCACGAATCTAAACGATACTGAAATTTTGCACTAGGTAAGCAAGGAAGGGTTGCAAACTCAGTTATTTGGAATCCTTGGAAATTCATAAGCATAAACATTGCGGGTGCGACCTGTTAAATGATCAAGTCGATCTATTTTACTCACTGGTTTTCAAATTAGCGTATCCACATTGTCACAAGCAAACAAAATTTTGGTACTCAATTAAGCTAAGTACCTCTATTATTACCTACAGTGGGCTAATGTAATCAATCATTTTTAGTTTAATGTATGAGTTTGAAAATTTTCTTATAGGACGAAACTAAAGTAGCGTTAGTTACAAATGTAAGTGGTAAAAACATAAAAAGTTTTAATTCTCTTTTCTTCATAATGATTTCCTACCACGTAGTAACGCCTACATCCATTAATATATGTCCAGAAGAATATATAACAATCATCAAACAAAGGACTGTACATACTAGTACATACCAGAATTAAATACGATTTTTGTAATGAGTGCGATGAAAAGATGGTAGGAAAAACGCGATAAGCTTGCAGTTTTCCGGAAAAATGTACTGGTCAGACAGTTCCTAAGTAGAGGAAAAGCGAGATCATCATCAAAGTAAAGAAGAATAAATAACATTGATTCAAAAAAATGTACAGATTATCATCGTTCAGAAGAAGACACAATTCTCCAAGATCAAAGTGGAGACAAAGATCATCGACCCCGGAAAGAAGCCTACAAATGTATCGACGAGATTAAAAGTGAGTTATTTACTGAACAGTTACAATGTGTACCATTGTTACGGATGATTTTTTCAAATTTCAAGTCTCATTTCAAGTCATTATCTAAGAAACGCTTATTCATTCTGAAACGAGCCTCTAGTGTCTACAATCCTCCCCGGCTTCGCACTGATAGCAGGGTATTCTTACAAGATAGACGAATGCAATCACGGACTTTTCTGTAGACCTACGAAGTGAAGCAATTTTTATCATACATNCTTACAAGATAGACGAATGCAATCACGGACTTTTCTGTAGACCTACGAAGTGAAGCAATTTTTATCATACATTGATTTGTTATATCTCAAAGGGATTAGTCACGATGAAAGCTCGAAGTCGGCTTGATTTTTCCAATATTTTCAGCAGTCATCATCATATTTCAACTAATTTAGGTACACGAAACATTATTGAATTATACGCATAAACCTTCCTCTTGAATCACTTCGTTCAATGGTGAAAACCGTATGAAAGCCCATTCGGTAGTTTTTGAGTTTATCGCGTACAGAAGACAGACATGGCGAGGAACTTTGTTTTATGTCCAATGATACTTTAATTATTTAGGAATACACGCCAATGTTTTTTCGTAGAAATCACCGTCAAAGCTAGGTAAGTTACGACTTTCGATTCTTTCAAATTGCTTCAAGTATGATTGTCTTATTCCTGATGCTCCAAGTTTTCTTTTTGAATCTCCAAATATTTGGTTGCTTAGTTTTTGTAAGACCACGACGAATGGTAATTCAGGGATTTGAGCAGGTTCTATGTTATATACTATACAGGCAGCTTCTTTTGACACGTGGTAACATTGCTATATTCTAAACCGTAACGGATACGAAGACGATTAAATGGGAAAAAAAGATAACTGTCATCGGGAACAATACAATGGTCGAAGAAAATTTACGGGGACTTTGGCCGTTCTTGAGTTATAAATGGTAAAAATCGTATACTTCCAATAACTCAATCCGGATTTCGTAAAGGACATAGTTGTGCAACTGCTTTGTTGCATATAGTGGACGATATTATAAGAGCACTTCACGCAAAAAATAATACAGTATTGGTACTTCTTGATATAGGACTATAGGGACTATATAGGACTCTCTAAAAATGCTATATCACTAATCAGATCGTATCTCGCCAACCGTCAACAAAAGGTTACTATAGAAGNAAATTTTGTAAACTAGTGCAATTGAGAGTAGCAATCTGGACAAGTTGTGAATAGCTGAATCTCTGCAGCTGAAGATGGTTTTAACTGGAAAATCCTTCTTGTGAATTTTGGGCTACCCATACAGATGAGTTGAGTGCGGTGTTAGCTACTATCTCTCCTTATTCGAAAAAAAGTTGATGTTCGTTCAAGGACTAGTACACATTTCCTTCTACCAATTTATAAAGTAGGATTTTTTATAATCTTCGTTTATTTCTGACCCCTTCTGAAGAACGCCTATATTCTTTAATTCGTAGAGATCTGTAACCCTTGTCCGAGAATATCACAGAGAAGCGACATTAACGTCGGATCCTTTGATGTTCGGTGTCCCAACTCCGAACCGAAGATTTTGAGTGATAGACAACCTGGTTCAC